TCGACACAAGAGGAAAGACTAACTAACTAACCGATATTCTGGTATTAACGAAAACTACTCACCATAGATGTAAATAGTAATCCAAGAGTATATAGGTGGTATTTGTTGTTATCTCAATTTAAATTAACTTTTGATCGCATAAAAGGAACCGACAATCATCTGTCTGACATTTTATGTCACGATTATAAAATACTGCTACGAAATTAAGTAAATGCAATGATTAGTGTATATTAATGTCATATCTGTGTTTTTTTTTAATTTTAATTTTTTTTTTTTTTTTTTTGCTGAATAACAAACATGGTAGTACAGTTATTTATAAAGGGGACATAACTCTTTAAAAAAAAAGTCAAGCGGCTAAAACATGCTCTTAAAATATAGAACTGTGTACTAATTATTTATGTTTATAAGTGCTGATGAAACCTATTAAGATTGTATATTTCATAGACAAGTTTAAACGCATTAACCGATTGGTAAAACCTAATAGCTGGGAACATAGTCATTCCACATTTAATCTGCCATCGTAGAGATTTCCATGACTGTGAATAGCGAAGGTGGGATTTTATAGGGTTACGCTTCAGTTTTAGAGCCACACTTTTTGACTTCTCCACTTAATCAGGAGTACCAGGCGTGATGTTCGGTGTAATACTGACTTAAGGACTGGGTTGGAATACATGTAGAGCTAATATTTTTGTCTTTGGCACTGGGCTGAGGATCCCATCAAGATTTTCTCAGTTATGAGAAAGCTTGACTGATGTAAGTATGAAGTGGTTGATGCGTAAACTCAATAAAAGAACGTGTAACTAAAAGGTTGAGTAAGAAACATATCGAAAATGAATCCTTACCATCACAAGTCTCTACTAAAATAACTTGTCAAATATTCAGCATACACATGAACATGTTATGGTAATAACCACTTTCATGAGAATGTGAAATATTTTTAACTAGCTGTGCCGTGCAACGCGTTTCTGTGGCCCCGAATGGTGAAATGGAAAAGAAAGAAAGTAGCTTTCAACTAACAGAATCTGTCATAACTCTCAAACCCTGTCCCTCTCCCCTTCACCCAGTCATATCTCCCTCTCCGAAGGATTGAAAAATTATCCCTGGCAAAAGTATTACAAAAGAAATAGTTAAGAAATGATAACTTGAAAATAATGTGTTATGCTCTCTTAGGTAACAGTGTCTGGCATAACCACCCCCCCCCCCCCCCCCCAATAATATGTCCCACTCCGAAGGAATAAAAAATTAACACTTGGCGAAATTATTAAAATAGAAATAGTTAAGAAATGATAACTGTAAAATAATGTTTTCAGCTCTCTCAGTTAATAGCGTCTGCCATCAACCCCCCCCCCCCCTCCTAATCTTATCATCCTTGCCGAAGGATAGAAAAGTCATCATCTGGCGAAATAATTTAACTGAACTGAGCTTTGCATCCATGTCCACCCAGAGACAGACGGATAGCATTAATGTGTAATGAGAAGTAAATGTGGCCAGTGTAACAGCTACCACATCACCCATCCAGTACCACTACTACTGCTACCACTAACACCATCACCTTCAGAACAAAAACAAAAAACAGTCACTACTGTCTGTGCAGGTCGGTGTAGCCAGAGGGGTTAGCGCTGCATGATGTCGCCACGGACTGTTTAGTGTAATTGAGCTCCCAACAAAGAAGACAAAAAAAAAAAAAAACCACAGTAATAGTCCGTTCTATACTCATAAATAGCGGAAATAAAAAACCCCAAAAGCCATCTCCCCTCTCCGAAGGGACGAATGTTAAATGACCTTGGCATCCGTGTCCACCCAAAGTAAACTGGACTGTAAGCCGTCGCCGTCTTAGTTAACAGCTTCTGTCATCTACGAATAGTTTATTATTGAGTGAAGCGTTGCGGGGAGGATAAATGGGACTTTCCTGAAATCGGATGTCTTTGGGCTAAAGGTGCAGATATCACAGCCTAGCTGTAAATCACAACACAACATGCCAACAGCCCTCTTGAGCGAAAAAGAAAAATTAGCACCCAATGGGTAATTGAACACCGGTCAACCACGTAAAGGGCGGAATACGTACAAATATACTGCCTAAGACTGAAGAGTTTGGGTCCGATATCGCAGCCTAGCTGTAAACCACAACACAACGTTCCAACCGCCCTCTCAAAGGCAAACAAAGATTACCCGTGACATGACCAACGTCTCGTCGCCGCTATCGCAGGCTAGCAGTAAACCCCTAAATCGAGCGGAAAGAAGACATAGATATCGCAGCCTAGCTGTTAACCACAACAAAACGTGCCAGGCGCTTAGTTAAAGGCAATTTTTTTTAATCACCTAGCAGGGCATTGACCGCCAGTCACCCACGTAACACGCAAAATAGACAACTACGCTACCAAGGACTCAAGCATCTGCCCAATTATATCTCTCTCTCCGAATGATTGTAACATTATTATGTGGCGACATTGTTAAAATAGAAATAGTTAAGAAATGAGAAATGTAAAAAAAAAAATGTTTTAAGCTCTCTCAGTTAACAGTGTCTGGCATCAACCCCCCTCGACAACCCCCCCCCCCCCCCCCCCTCCCCTCCGTGACAATCATATCATCCTCTACGAAGTATGAGGAAGTCATCGCCTGACGAAATATTGTTGTTAAATTGAGCTTGGCATCCGTGTCCACCAAGACAAAAATGGATAGCATTCATCTGTACTGAGAAGCAAATGTGGCCAGTGTAACAGCTACCACATAACCCATCGAGTACCAGTACTACTGCTACCACTACCATCACCACCGTCGCAACAACAACACAAAACGGTAACTTCTGTCTGTACAGGTCGTTGTAGCCAGAGGAGTTGGCACCGCATGCTGTCGCCACGGACTGTTTAGTTTAAGTGTGTCCCCGACATACAACTCCATCACCTAACCAGTGATAGAACCCACAGTAATATTCCGTGATATAAAAAAAAAAAAACAACATGTACACTATACTCACAAATAGCAGAAATAAAAACCCGCACTCGTCAAATCTCCCTCTCCGAAGTGACGATATTTAAATAACCTTGGCATCCGTGTCGACCTAAACCAAACGGACCGTAAGCCTTCTTAGTTAACAGTTTCTGTCATTAACGAATAGTTTTTGATCGAGTGAAGCGTCGGTGGGGGAGGGGGGAGGGAGAGGGGGGGGGGGGGGGGGCTAATGTGGATGTACTTAAATCGGATGTATTTGGGCGTAAGGCGCAGATGTCGCAACCTAGCTGTAAACCACAACACAACGTGCCAATCGCCTCTCTGGGGTAAAAAAGAAAAATTAGTACCCAGCGGGGAATCGAAAACCCGTTATACACGTGAAGGGCGGAATACTTACAACTCTACTACCGAAGACTGAAGACTTTAGGTCAGATATCGCAGCCTAGCTGTAAACAACAACACAACGTGCCAACCGTCCTCTCAATGGCAAACGAATATTACCCGTGACATGAACATTGAGCATCACGTCGCCGCTATCGCAGGCTAGCTGTAAACCCCAAAATCGAACGGAAAAAAGTGTAGATACTGCAGCCTAGCTATAATGCTTACAACTAACTACGCTACTGAATACTCAAGCATTTAGTAAAAATGAAAGTATAATGATCGGTGTTGCACAGTCAAAGGTGGCCAAATAATTAAAAATAAATCCGGGTGGGCAACGAAACAAATAATGATTTGACCGTTGCTGCAGCGACGTCGTTCGTGGTTTGTGCGATTTTATGACACACACAAAAAATTACGCTCTGAGTCAGAGGCAACGTTGTGTGAAAATTTGAAAGCAATCGGTTAAGTAGTTTTCGAGTTTAGAGCTAACGACACCGGAAAATTAACATTTTTATTAATATAGATTAGGTTGAGAAGAACTGTAACGTGTCATTTTTCTATTCGTTAATTTAACGTCGCAATTAGAAATAAGGTTAAATACTAAACATGTATTATGAGTTTTAGTTCGGGTGAATGGAATCCTAAAGCTGCGTGACGGTGCTGAAAGATTGAATGCTGAGCGAATTTACTTTTGAAGAAGTGTCTGTTTCAAGATTTGACAGAAAGTTCCGTGAAACCTTGCTGTCATTTTTTGGTATGAAATCTTGTCAAGGCTGGACGCCGTGTGTGCTGTCCATGTAGATGGTTGCAAATGTTAAAGTGTCTACTTAGGAATGTCCTGATGTATCATCCTTTAAAGGTAATGTTGAATGATTAAAGTTATTGATGCTGTTATCAGTCACCCTAGACAAGGTTTACCTCTAAGCCCACTTACCGGGCAAAGGCTGTTTGAACGAAAACACATTTACAACGATCAGCTGTGGGGGCGTTCTCATCGTTCGTTGTTGAACATGATAATATTTGCCTAGAAAATGTGGATGTGGTGTGTCTAGAGATTATATATCGGTAGTCTGGCTTTTTCGCGCCACTTTCGTGGCTAAGATTGAGGTATGTGCGTCAGTTTTCTGACTTAACATTTCTTTTCTCAAAGACAGACAGCTCCTTATACCTCCTGTTCTTTACTTTTTGATGTTTTCCTCGAGGGTCATCCTCCATCCGATTTATTCTCTGTGGTATGTTGCCCGTGTGTCCCCCACTTTGCATCTCTGTTCCCTTCTATTTTGGCTAGGCGTATCTCGTAAGAGACTGAGCTATTTCGCAGTTATTTTCTGCGGAACGACGTTTCGGACAACCATTTATAGTATGACAATTTTGAGTATTTTACTTTGCCGAAAGGAGCGCACCCTCTCAAATCTCCCCTAATTTTTTTCTTTCTGACGGCGCGTCCGTTGCAACTGGATGAGTGCGTGCATCTACCCACTTTATCTCTTATTGGTTTAGAAATGTGTGCATGGATGACCGGATCGGTAGATATAGACAAGAATGTGTGGTTTGATTGAATGGATCTAAGGTTACACAAATGGATGGGTGGGTACACGTATTTACGGACCGATGGCTAGATAAAGTGATGAATATATACAGTTATATTCTATGATTTATTTGCATAGATGATGGAAATGATTGGCAATTTGAAGACATCCTTCCATCAAATCCTCGAAGAAAGTGCATGGATGGCACCGCCTACCAAGCAAGCCGCCTTTAAAAAGGTTTCTATTGATTTAGTTGTTCAGATGAAATTATAATCACCCTACCCTGCTTGAAGTTAGGTTATTTTGTGTCAGGGGAAAAGGGAGTTGGGGGGGGGGGGGGGGGGTGGAGATAGAACCTTACATTTAAAAGGACTTTCTGGGATGTGTACCTGGGTGATTCACATCCGAATAGTAACACTTTGCGTCACCGGGTGTTAATTGCTCGTGTGCGGTACTAGCAGAGGTTCAACCTTCTTCGATCTCTAAGCAGCGCAGTTGCTCGTTTTAGACTGTATGTTACCTTTAGCCGGTAAGGCTGTTACAGCTGTTCTCATTACAACTTCTTTGGAGGTTGAACAGGGTATCTGGGATCTTCTTTGTTGGTCTGCTGTCCAGACTGAAATGTTTAAAAACAAAAACATACCTCAAGATGGAATGGTAAACCGTTTGGTTGCAGCTCCTAGGGGACACATCCCTGCTAGGTCCGGAGTTTGGGTTACTTTGTAACCATCAGGGCCCAGCCTAATCTTACAGCCGAACAGGGCTTACCGAGATTTGTTGTAGGATTCTCATCCTTGAGGTGTTAATCCAGCGGACTACATTACTACAGTGGGCAAAGTTCTTTTTCTTCCTCTCTTCTTCTTGTGATCGCTTTCTGATTCACACCGACAAACGAGTTCTTGTGATAACCGTGATTGCTTTTTAGGAGTTCCTTTTTAGTTCCATACAACTTTAAGTATGGAGTTCACTCATTGGGTCAGTATTCCAATCTTAAGGGCTACACAAGGCACATTCTCACAGGACATGTTCTGTAGTTTGGACACAAAGGCCACACGGCCACAATTTTGAACTACTTAGACGACGCCTGTGCGTATGCTAAAGTTTGTTATGTCCTGTCCTGAAGCGTGGAATGATGACCTGCCCACGCCGCTCAAGTAATTGGTAGTCCTTTTTTGCCAGATTCTGTTCACTTCTGACAGACTGGATGACTTCTTCTCAAAGTGTGTTTGAGATAATGATCTCCCTGTTCATATTCTTCCCCTTTTCTAGCAAGTTTATCCGCAGTTTCGTTTCCTGGTATATCACAGTGGGATAGCACCCATTGGAGTACAATACTCTTTTGGGCAGCTAGGTTTACGTTTAGATTTTTACACCGGATCAATATCATGGCACAAGGGTAGTAACCTATAAGTGCTCCCTTCTACTTCTGACTCAAGCCTGCGTCAGAAGGATCTCAGAGCAGTGCATGAACTCCGTAGCACCGGCCTGGATCCTGAAATAATTTGGGTAGATTTTTAACTCTAAATTTTGCCCGGGAAGCGCCATTATGCTACTCTTTTTCGATTTCCAACTGCCAAAGGAATGTTTACGTGCGCAACAATACATACGGGCGTCCGATCTTACTACCCAGAGACCAGGAAAATTACTAGAAGTCCAGGTCAAAAAATCCCAGCCTTCACCGGGACCTGTACCCAAAACCTCCAGCACTCGAAGCTGACGCTATGCCTCAAAATCATGCAGTCTCCAAGCTAAGGTCAGATCTCAGGTGAAGGTCGGGCTTCCAGTACCGATATAGCATCTGTGAAAATGACCACTTGGCGGCAGTCAGAACCTTGTAGTGTAACATTTCGGCAGCCTGCTCTAGTGCTAGAATCTCTTCTGTATAGTAGAAACCGAATTTACAGTGGGTATATACTTATGTGGCGGTGGTTGTCTGGATATGGGATTAAGATGATAGCACTGCTGTTTGTAACCGTACTGGTTGCTGCTCCATCTGTGTAAGCACGTATCCAAGATTGATCAGGATAGTTTTCCTGGATCACACTTAAAGCAGCTATATCGTTTTTGAAGGTCTTTGGACTTATCTCCAGCTGTGGGTCACTAATAAAAGAATTATTATTTCTATAATTCGTAGATTATAGTTGAGTTGAGTTGAGTCACGAATTGACTTCGCAGCACTCGGGGGATTCCCACGCGTGCTCCGTCCTCATCTTCAGCAGCCAGCGCAGTGTTCCAGCACTGATGGTAACTGTCACAATCTTGTTATTTACCCGTCTTACCTTTCCTCTGAGTGTAGTGAGCTGGCGAGACCCTCTGGTTACACCCAGTTGCCTCATTCTCTCCAGGCCATAATAATCTTGTTTCTCTACTGATTCCGTTGCTTGTTCCCAAAGGGACTTGACCACATCTGCCTTGTCATATATCAATTCACCACCCAATGGTGCAGATCCAGCCAGTCTGTCTGCCTATTCATTATCCACTACGCCTATAAGGCTTGAAAAAAAAGAGATCCAAAGTATGCTCACTACCCGTGACCATCTTAGTGAAGTCTGCCAGTCTGCTCGAAGCATTCTTGTCTTCACTTTTCTTATTATGCCTTCAGAGTCTGTTACTACGACGACATATGTATGCATCTTGTTTTTTCGGCCACAGCTGCAGTTACCGCCTCCACCTCTATTCTCACGCTTGATGTTGTGATGTCATATGCTAGGCTGTCTTGCAATAAAGATTTTCCATTGGCTTTCGCTACGAACCCCCAGTCACTTCTCTTACCTCTCATCACCGAACAATCAATATAGATAATCAGATCATCTGGGCGTGAATTGTCGTGGATCCACTGTTGAACTTCCACCTCCGTAGCACCCGCTGGCCACTCTCTGCACTCCCGGCCCAATGTGATCATAACCCTACACAGGGAAGAATTTTTCTTTGCTGCTCTGACCCACTCCTCTCCTCGCCAAATGTTCTTCAGCATGCATACTTGTTTTATTGTGTTTACTGCTTGAGCCATCAACGATTGCCCCCCCCCCCTTTTTCAGCCTCTGACCCTTACCTGTAGCGAAAGCTTCTTACATAGGGTGTTCCCTGTCTGCAGCTGCTCTTAGGTATGACTTAGCCTGCAGCTCCTTTAGCCTAACTGCAAAAAGTCAGCAATGCAAGGATCCGTAGATTATGGTTATTTAGTTACTTTAGGAACCTGTAGATGTTAGGCCTACAGCTACTTTAAACAGCTGTAGATAGTATATGAAACTAGGAAAGAACATTTACAAAAAAAAAAAAAAAAAAAAACGCTCGGAACTAGAAGTTTATTAGATAAAGTATATTATGAATTAATCAAGTAACAGAAAGTGTATTGATCGGCATTCATAGAAAGAAGTAGATAGATAGAAGAACACATTAGACAACATAAAAATCGGAAGCTATAGTTACTGTGCTGGGAATTGAACGTGTCACCTCCAGACGGCGTCTGCGCCTCGCCATGAATACAAGTCCACTAAGAACATGGTCAACTAGGCCCTAGTCAACAGAGAAGAAATGCCTTAGAAGATTTGCAGGAGTTTCAAGAAAGACATAATACAAAATCAAGAAATCAGAAGAATGCTAGGAACAAAGCCAGTCATACAAGTCATTAAAAAAATTAAAAAAATAAATAAATGAAGTGGTTTGGACACCTAACAAGAATGCCCTGGTACTATCTGCCACGAGCGAAAGACCCCGGAAAATATGGAGTGATGGCATTAAGAACAGTCTTTCAGAAATTAACATTACTCTTAACAGTGCTCTTGACAGAGCTCATCAACGAATGTTATATCTCCCCCGACATTTTGCTGAGGTAGAAGGTGGAAGATAAGAAGAAGAAGGAAGATGTATTGTTACTTTCTGAATAATCCATACAACAACTATGTTGACTGAAAAATCCGTACAACAACTATGTTGACTGAATAATCCGTACAACAACTATGTTGACTGAATAATCCGTACAACAACTATATTGACTGAATAATCCATACAACAACTATGTTGACTGAATAATCCGAACAAAAACTATATTGACTGAAAAATCCGTACAACAACTATATTGACTGAAAATTCCGTACAACAACTATGTTGACTGAATAATCCATACAAAAACTATATTGACAGAATAATCCGTACAACAACTATATTGACTGAAAATTCCGTACAACAACTATGTTGACTGAATAATCCATACAACAACTATGTTGACTGAATAATCCGTACAACAACTATATTGACTGAATATCCGTACAACAACTATATTGACTGAATAATCCGTACAACAACTATGTTGACTGAATAATCCGTACAACAACTATATTGACTGAATAATCCGTACAGCAACTATATTGACTTAATAATCCGCACAACAACTATGTTGACTGAATATCCGTACAACAACTATATTGACTGAATAATCCGTACAACTATGTTGACTGAATAATCCGTACAACAACTATATTGACTGAATAATCCGTACAACAACTATATTGACTTAATAATCCGCACAACAACTATGTTGACTGAATAATCCGCACAACAACTATGTTGACTGAATAATCCGTATAAAAACTATATTGACTGAATAATCCGTACAACAACTATATTGACTGAATAATCCGTACAACAACTATGTTGACTGAATAATCCATACAACAACTATATTGACTGAATAATCTGTACAACAACTATATTGACTGAATAATCCGCACAACAACTATGTTGACTGAATAATCCGTACAACAACTATGTTGACTGAATAATCCGTACAACAACTATATTGACTGAATATTCCGTACAGCAACTATGTTGACTGAATAATCCGTACAACAACTATGTTGACTGAATAATCCGTACAACAACTGTGTTGACTGATTCATAAAAAGATGCATATCCTTAACGTTTGATTTCCCCAGCTGGCTGCTATGGCCTCCAAGATCGGTTACCCGGACACAAATTTCACAAACAAAGAGATTGAAACAATGTATCAACACGTAAGCTGCTTGCTCCAAATATGAACTATTTTCTTTCTTTCTTATCCATTGCTTCCTTTAAATTGTCTTTTACTGATATAATTTACCCCAATTTTAGAGTGTATGGCCCAGCCTAACCATCCGAGATCGAGTGAATAATGAAACTATCAGGCAAATTGTGGGAATGACACCTTGTACTAGATTCATCGAGAAACAGCAGATTAAGTGGTTAGGCCATCTTTTTAGAATGCCGCAAGATCAAATACTATCACAAGCACTACATCTCAGAAGATCAGCTACAAGAGCAAGAGGACGGCCACGGAAGTATGGATCGACAACATTAAAGACACTCTACGCCTTAACGGCATGACAATAGCCAGTGACAGCCAACGTGCACTAGATCGCAAATTATTCCTCCCCACGTCGCTTAACGGCAAAAGTGGTTTATGATGATGATGATGATGATGATGATGATGATGATGATGGCAGATATACAAATGGATTAAACAAAACCTATTTGAAAAACGTCTAAAGAAATCCAGCGATGAACGTTGATGAGACAGGGCGGAGATGCTGGAGTTGGTCGTTATACATGATATCAAGACAATTGCATGGGATGTACTTGAAGAAGTAGACAGCAATTCTAAGTGATGTAGAGAGGACACAGCAGGAGGGTGATCTTCTTCTAATTCGTTTTGGTGTGCTCACCGGCTATAAACTTGTGCAGACAATTCTGGCTGTTCTTTTACTTCTGGACTTTGGTCTCGTACAGATCTTGGGTTGTCGGCTTGCTGTACATCCCTTTTTATATATATATATATATATATATATATATATATATATATATATATATATATATATATATATATATATATATATATATATATATATATATATATATATATATATATATATATATATATATATATATGTATGTATACCTGGCTTACTGGAATATACAAACTTTTGGTTGGCTAGACGTATTCCGTCTTTGAAGAAAGCACACTAGTCGCTTTACGAATGCTCGTTAAGAGGAAAATTGTGGACAATCCTGTAACAATCGTTTTGTATGTATACAAACATCTAGTTTTCATTCTGACTTATTGGAACATATAAAAAAAATAATTTAAAGCAAACAGTCGGCAGATTTAAGGTTAACTAAATAATGGCAACTATTCAAAAATCCAGATGGCACGATTTTCATGTGTGTTTCGCTCTCAGGTAGTCATCTTCAGCATTAGACTTCTGTGAATACAATCTTTCATTGTATGCGAGATAGGCTATAAAAAAATTACTATGCATTGCTGCACTTGTGAAATAATTTCCAACTAATCTCCATGCGGTTGTCAATTGCTGTATATTCACAAATTATTAATCAACGATGAAAGAAATTTGCCGCTTTAAGAAAACATCAGCACTTGTGCAATGGTAAATATAACATGACAAGGACATGGGAAATCTCAGACAAGATGCAAAAACTCCTTTTGGCCCGTTCACGAGTTTTGGAGAAATTTGTTTAAGTGTGAAAGAATTTTAAACACACTATAAGTTCAGTCGCCTTGAGCTGTTCAGATTATCAGTGTTTTCTTCTTTTTGCATCCTTTGCCACGTGGCGTTTATAGTCGTATCTTGTCTCCACAGCCTTCTGACTCGTGTGCTTTTAATCATTTCTAACACAGATGATCTTCATTGGCAAAAGGGCCTACTGTCTTACATCTTTTCTAACTCTTTTTTTTTTCACTATCACAATATATGTTAGTAAATCGCCCCCCCCTCCCCCCAAGTGATATGATTGTACATACAGAGGGCTCTGTGTTAAGGGTCAGACGAAGTTCACGGGAGTTCATAGCGAAGGCGAATGGACATCGCTTGGTGTAACAAAGCCTGGCATATGATATCATAACGTCTAGTTTGAGAAATGAGGCAGAGGCACTTACTGCTGCCTTCTGCTGGCTTGAGAATTAGCTGTACACACATGCCGTCATTGAACTGACTCACAAAGCATGTTTAGAAAAGTGGAGACAGACATGCTCCGTGCAGAGCGGCCAGCATCACTCCAAAGGTCCCGGGTAGTTAGCATTCTTTGGATATATTCTCCAGGGAATGCCGGTGTGTTGGGAAATGAGCAGGCAGATAGACTAGCTGGTTATGCACCACTTGGTGGTGAATTGATGTATCGCAAGTTAGATATTGTGAGGGCCCTTTGGGAGCGAGTAAACAGTGCGGAGACGCAGTTAGACCATTACGGTCTAAGGTGGATGGCGCTGCGAGGAGTTACCAGGTGATCTGGCCGACGCTCAACACTCAGGGGAAGGATGAGACGGATATACAAGCAGCAGGGTTACTGGTACCATCGGAATAAGAACTCTTCGCTTGCTGCTGAAGATAAGGACTAAGCACTTATGGGAGTGTCCCGAGTGCTGTTATGTCGATTTCCTTATTCAACATTCAACATTCTAACTTTCCCACTATCACAATATATGTTAGGTTTCTACTTCTCATGCCATTATTGAAGAGTGCCTGTGTTTTAGATGCTTTTTATATGTTTATGTATGCTTTAATTTCTTGAAATGCTGATTTATTTAGAAAAGGAGCCTTTTTCAAATCAAATATGGTTTAAAACAAAATGTTGCTCTGTTCCCTTTTCATCTTAACTTGGACCTAACACATTATAAGGAAATTGGAAAATGAGTGTACTACAGAAGAAACTACACGAATACCTGGTTATGCAAATGACACTGATATTGTTAGAAAAACTGAACCAGGTTTAAAAAAAAAAAACCAGACTGTCTTAAAAGAAGCAGCTTAAAAAAAAATGAGACTTGCTATCGATCAAGATAATACAGAATACATGATAACAACAAGACATGGACAAAATATAAACTCCGGCGACACTCAAGTCGATATGAAAATCAAACAACGGAAACATTAAAGTACTTGGGTGCAAATTTTAACTGCTGCAACATGCTGAGAACAGAATTACAATCTAGAATACAGTCTGGAAATAAAGTATACTATTCCTTTCAACATCTGCTAAAGTCAAAATGTCTGTCTCGCAACACCAAAATCAAAATATATAAAACGACCAGTTGTTTTAAATGACACTGAAACTTGGAGCACAACGAAAAGTCTTATTACACGTGCATTAAAATAGAGACTTGCGACGAATCTGTGGACCCATCAAAGATGCAAACAGTGGGGAATGGAGAGTGAGAAGCAACAACACAATTCATAGTCTGTTTCAATCACCATTGATCACTGGCATCATAAGAGCTAATTGACTGGTATAGCTAGGGTATATTAGGAGAATGTCAGATAACAGAGAGGTAAAAACTATATACAAGGGATCTGAATGGCCGTAAACCACGAGGCAGACCAAGAAGACGATGGAGAGATAATAACCGTGTGAGTTTCTGGGCTCTGTTGTGGAGGGAAAAAGAATAGACCCACTGCCTGCCCAAAAACATGTAGTAAGAGTCGCCTAATTGGTAGCTTCCTTCGAAGTCTGAGCACATCGGCCTGAGAGGCAAGGAACCAACATTGGGCACTCAGATGGATCACACCTTTGAAACGGATGTACACGCAACACTCAAGTTCTGGAACAGGACTAGAGTCCAGAAGTTGACAAACAAATAGAACTTTCTGCCGGAGTTTACAGCCAGTGAAAGCTAAGAAGAAGAAGAAGAAGAAGAAGAAGAAGAAGAAGAAGAAGAAGAAGAGGAAGAAGAAGAAGAAGAAGAAGAAGAAGAAGAAGAAGAAGAAGAAGAAGAAGATATCAATACACACCAGCAACGCTTGGTGTCCCCAGCTAGAAAGAGAAGGCCAACCAGAGCGATGAATGGAGACGGGGAACATCTGCAGCATTGCACCTCAAGGGCTCAGAATGCTGAAGGAGAATCCTTATGCACTGCTGTTCTGATCAGTCCACAGTTCTAATCATTCGTCTATAAAATCAAGTCTCTGCCGCTACTCCTAATTGGCTAACTATTCATGATTCACTTCCATATATCAGGAGTGAAGTTACAAAGATCTTAAAAATGTTCTTCCTCGCCTCTATTGACAATGGATGTTGCGAATCCAAAAGTCGTGGGCTCGAATCCGAACGAAGCCAGACTCCCTCTCCCTTTCCCAAATTACCTTGGCTCCAAAGTTGACCCAGCTTTGAGTGGATATCAGATAAAGTCCTGGGAAGAAAAGGCGGCCGGTGTGATGTTGACTACCTTACCAACCAATGTCGATTAGTATATAAAATATAGGTCTAGCACAATATGCCCAATATGCCTAAAGGCTTGTAAAAGGGTCCTCGACCTCTGTTGACAAAATAACATTGTATAGAATATTCTTTACTTAGTGAAAAGATACCTTTAAATTGTTTTACCCAGCTTTGCCTCATTTTATTTCTTTAATATAGCTTTCATCTATTGTGATCAGTCACGTACAGACTGACTGACTTTCTAACCCACCAGGACATCACACAAGCGATAAACACCCGATGACACAATGTGCCACCATGTGGGTGAGGATCACCGTGGAGAAGTCCCAGAAACCGCGTTCAGCCTTTAGGCCATATTTGTGACAAGGCTATATTGCGGCCCCTGGCAAGAGCCAGAGTAAGGCTTCAAATAACGAACAATTTAATCCCAAAAGGACGGAAAGTAATTAGTGTGGAGTCAAGTACAGACTTGCTTTAGAATTATCCAAATTTGATGTTGCAGCGGAGGGAAAAGATGGGGGGGGGGTGGGGGGGGGTGGGGGGGGGGAGCGTATCTACTGTGTAATTACTATAACATATGTTTTTCTGCTGTTAAAACTAAGATGACCACCACCACCACCACCACCACCACCAACAACAACAACAACAAAACAGGCCAATTGCCTTACTGATGGGAAATCGAATCCGGATCTATCGAATGAGAGCTAAGGTAATCCTACAGAGACACAATGACATAACTAACCATTCAGTAATAAAAGTTATCTCCCTACAACAGTATACAATGCAGGAAGACAATTACTACCCAAATGAGAGACTGGCCGAGGAACTAACCAGAATAGAATTCGCAGCCTCTTTCAGAAAACCCGTGGATAAGAATGAGTAAGTATTCTTTGCTTCAATATTCTTTTGAATTGTAACTGCTGCTGCTGCTACTACGTCTGCAACTAATACTGTTGCTACTACAACTACTACTTCTATTGCAGCTACTAATACTGCTGCCGCTATAACAGCAATACATACTACTGCAGCTCCTACTGTTAATACTACTCCTGTTTCTGCTACTGCTGCTACTACTGCTGCTACTACTGTTGCTGGTGATGCTGGTGATGCTAAAAATAATAATAATAATAAAAATAATACTGCTGCTGCTATTACTATTACGACAACCTCCACCACTACTACTACAACAAAAACAACAACAACTACTACTGCTGCTGCTACTGTTTACTTCCACAACATCTACTACTAACACCTCTACTACTGCTACTGCTGCTACTGCTGCTGTTACTGTTGTTGCTGTTTCTTCTACAGCAACAACAGCTACTACTATTACTCCTATCATTACTGCTACTGCTGCTGCTGCTACTGCTTCTACCACTACTACTATATTTTTCTGCTGTCCCTCCATTAAAGGTCTCGGTAATACCAGAGGACCAGACAATGTCTTTATATATATATATATATATATATATATATATATATATATATATATATATATATATATATCCAAGATTTCTTTCTAGAGATGTAGAAAATAATGCGGTACTGACCCAAAAGTGTTTCTGAACAAGTGCTGACGCTTGCCAGAAAGTGTCTATTATATCATCATCATCCTCATCTGCCAGCATCGCTGATCGGTTCAATAATTTTGCCTCGCACCATCCATTTTTGCAAAGCCATCCAGGTATTTATCTCGTTGCTCTCTTTCCTTTAACCATGCCACCTGTTACCAAGTTCTCGAGTCGATTCCTTCTAAAAACATGTCTAGGGGAGCTGTGTGGTCTCGAGTGCTACAGGTTCTGGGTTTAATCCCCAGTAAAAGCTGGGATTTTTTCATGTGGACTTGGACTTCTAGTAATTCCCCTGGTCTCTGGAGTTAAAAATCTACCCAAAGTATTTAAGGATCCTCGCCGATGATACAGAGCCTTTGCACTGTGCTGAGCTTTTTTCGGACTCAAACTTGAGTTAGAAGAGGAACGGAGCACAAATGGTTACATCAAATGGTGTGCCATTGTGTTGATCCGTTACCTGTTTTTTTGTGTGGAACAGTTTAACTTGGCTATCAGGTTGACCCAGATTTTAATGGTTATCAGGTAAAGGCCTGGGAAGAAAAGGCGGTCGGCGTGAGTTGACTACCTTGTTGATCCGTAGTTTAAACCTTAAACCTAGAAACAATGTCTAAAAAAATATGTCTATGTCTAATTGTTCTAATCAGTTCAAGACTTTCATCTGTGTCGGTAATGACTGCTTCGTTTGTTTTTCTGTCCTTCTGAATATATCCTTCTCATTCTTCTCAGAAACCACTCTCATTCTTCTCAGAAACCACTCTCATTCTTCTCAGAAACCACTCTCATTCTTCTCAGAAACCACTCTCATTATTATCAGAAACCACTCTCATTTTTCTCAGAAACCACTTTCATTCTTCTCAGAAACCACTCTCATTATTATCAGAAACCACTCTCATTCTTCTCAGAAACCACTCTCACTCTTCTCAAAAACCACTCTCATTCTTCTCAGAAACCACTCTCATTCTTCTCAGAAACAACTCTCATTCTTCTCAGAAACCACTCTCATTCTTCTCAGAAACCACTCTCATTCCTCTCAGAAACTACTCTCATTCTTCTCAGAAACCACTCTCATTCTTCTCAGAAATCACTCTCATTCATCTCAGAAACCACCCTCATTCTTCACAGAAACCACTCTCTATTCTTCTCAGAAACCACTCTCATTCTTCTCAGAAACCACTCTCATTCTTCTCAGAAACCACTCTCATTCTTCTCAGAAATCACTCTCATTCTTCTCGGCAACCACTCTCATTCTTCTCAGAAACCACTCTCATTCTTCTCAGCAACCACTCTCATTCTTCTCAGAAACCACTCTCATTCTTCTCAGAAACCACACCTCGGCCGCGAGTAAATTTTTTTTCCCAGTTTGTCTGCTTATTGTCTATGTTTCACTTGCATGGAACAAGACAAGATTTACACAGCACTATAGGACGTCTATCATAGGAGTGCTGAAAAAAAAATGAGACTTGAAAAAGGTGCCGGTACTGAGAAATAAAAAAAAAATTAATAAAAAAAAACCTTGACCTATAATAGAGAACCTGATATTCCTCAAAGAATGCATCATATCGATTTATTGTTTATTACTTTAACTTCATTTCGCTTTACTTTATTTCACTTGTACTTTATTTAATTATTTATTATTAATTATTTTGAATGCTTAAAAAAATAATTCTACTTGACTTTGCTTTAATTTAAGTTAGCTTTACTCATATATATATATAAATGTATATATATATATATATATATATATATATATATATATATATATATGTGTGTGTGTGTGTGTGTGTGTGTGTGTATATATATATATATATATATATATATATATATATATATATATATATATACACACACACGCATATACACACATACGTATATGTACGTGTGCATATATTTATGTGTATGTGTGTAATACTTTACATAACTTCGGTTTACTTAACTGTCATCACAGTCTGCCTGAAAGTTACACGGTCTCTCGTCAGATCTCCCACTTCGTGTACTTTAATACTCAAGGAGTCACTTCTATCCTGTGCCCACCTAATTATTCGGCCCCTACCGTACTACATTATATTACATTTGTACATTACTTTTCTTTATTTGGTTTGTTTGATAAAAAAGATCGATAATAACCTCATCTGCACAGGTGGAAGATGCCGCCTCACGAAGCTAATGCTTACTACTCTGTGTCGGAGAACCAAATAGGTAAGTTATTGACATAAGTGTTGGAATATATGGGTCAAGGCCCCATTAGCGCTCCTCCCCCTCCCCCTTCATGCTCTCAAATACACAGACCTTTCCCCGACAAAAAGAATTATAGGGGATAATCTCCCTGTGTGGATTGTGAGGCCCTATTGGAGGGTGAGGGGGGGGGGGGTGGTAGAATAAACCCACTGCTTTTCTAACAAGCATGCCGTAGGTGGCGACTAATTAGAGATGTTTTTTTCGAAGTCAGGGTGCACCTGCATGAAAGACAAGAAACCAACACTCTGCATACACAAAATTAGGATCTGTGAATGAATGTGAGCGCAAATCTCAAGTTCTGGAACACCATGATCGAGGTGTGAACGAACCACCAAAACTCTCCGACGGAGATCACAGCCGGTAAACGCTAAGAAAAAAGAGATATACAGATATTCTATTCGAAAAGCTTTTGTTTATACATTTGATATTTTTTTCAAATCATCATGTAGCAGGTCATTTACAGAACGTCGCTCTCATCACGGTCTGCCTGAAAGAAACTCAGTCTCTCGTCAGTTCTCCCGCCTTGTGTACTCTCATATTCAAGGAGTCATTTATATCCTGTGTCCATCTTCGTGTTGGTCTGCCGCAGCCCCTTCGTACAGGTACCATACCTTCTGCTGTTTTTTTGTCCAGTCTGCCATGATGTTTAATATGACCAACATATTGTAGCTCCCTAGACAAGATGCTGTCTATTGACCAATCTTCCTTGATGTTCAGATCTTTTAAAATGTCAACATTTCTTCTCTCCGTTGTCCAAGATATTCCGAGAATCCTTCTATAGCATTTCAACTGAAAAGCCCCTATTTTCTTTCTTAAGGACTGGGAGATAGTCGTATGCTGCTACAAGGAAAATGCATGCTCTAAAAATTTTAATTTTGATCTCCTTACTAGTGCTTAACTATAGACTTGTAGTGCTGTTTGATCTTTGCATTGTGATGGCCATCCTCATTTTGACTTCTAATTTCTTTTGATTTTTCAAATACTTTTATATATTTTTTTAACCACTCAGCCCCCCCGGGGGGGGGGGGGGGGGGGGTATTATATACCCCCTCCCCGATATTGTTGTGTGTGGTGTCAACACTCTTTGTTTTTAGACTAGTACAATCTGTTAAGAAATACCAAATACAGGCGTCCAACACAAAGAAAACATTGGTGGTGCAATGACTGCACACAAAATAATAATAAATGGCGTAATTAAATTGTCCCTGTCACTTAACAATTGTAACAGTAGATTAATTAAGATTTTGCTGAGGTCAGATGTTTTGGACTGAAAGGCGAAGATATCATAGCCTACTTGCAAACCACAACACAATGGACTACCTAAGAACAATTATAAAAACATTTTTGTTGAGTTCTGATTCAAACGCAAGAACTTTGGGCCGGCTCTCGAAAAGTCCACACCTGTGCTTAGTTTAATAAGACTCAGGTGAGTGGCAAGACACATATAGCCAGACTGCGACTGTTTTGTACCATTTGCGTTGGCTGTTGAAGGCTGGGACGGGCGCATATGGAAATATCTCGAGTGTTATGATGTTTGTGAAGTGGAAACGGAATAGACCTACAGGAAGGCCAAAGCTACGTTGTAAAGACATAAGCAAACGTGACCGGATAGACACCAACATAGACACAGTTAGTTAGGGACGTATCCTTTACAGGTCGTCGCAGAACCAACCCCAGCATTTTTTTTTTTTACTGTTGTGGTTTTTCTAGGCAAATTTCCGACCAGAAGTTTGCCATTGCCTCCTGGACGGTCGGTTTCTCGATGTCACTGTCGAAACCAACGCAAGAGGAAAGGCCAGCAACTGCGATCGAGCCCGGCACCCCGGCATTAGGAAGCGCGTTCGCAACGCGCAAGCCACAGATGCCGATAGGCACAGAGACTTGGGAAAAAAAATATCAACCGCAGATCGACTACTATGGCGACAGAAAGAGTAGAAACGATTGTCGCATTTTGATAGAAACCAAACGCAGAGAGCAACAGAAAGGGGACGCCAGAGAGAAACTCAGCCTTATAGGGTGAGAGTGTCAACTTTTTTTTGCAAATCCTATGTGGCAGAGACTGACACTCCGTCA